ACTGTTGCTTCATCCCAGTGGAACGTACAAAAAACATCAATCAGGTAATATGTACCACAAAATGTTGAAGTTCATCACGTGAGGGCGCAGTTCATTTTTCTCATAAGGGTTTGATTGCGCAAACAATGATCTGCTTCAGTTGTGTTCGCATTTGATCAACCCTGACTTTCTAGGGTGTAAGTAAAATCTTAAAATTAGAGGATTGGGGACTGTTAGGGCTATTGGTATACACAAATTAAGAAATGTCAATTTCAAAGATGGGAAGAAAAATTCAAAAAATTCAGTTTCACACGATTCCTTCAAAAGTACTGCTCCTTTTACCTATTGAATTTGAGACCGACAAATCTGCAAGTGCACAGCAGCACAAACTCTGAAGTGCATGTTGAAAAATAAATTCAAAATATTGAACATAAAACCTGGTCTAGAGGTTGAAGGATTATTAGAGTTGAATGCTCAAGTGTCCCACTCTCTATTTATGAAATATTAAGGGAAAAACTGCATTTATACATGTATGTGCTTGGAGATTTTACTATTGTGTATTATATAAAATCGGTGGAGTGTTTTTTTTGCCCTGAAGATTTCCAGACATGCTTTCGAAGACATGGGAACGCAAAATATAAGGCTCTTGTGAATTCTAAAACATCGCATAATTCTGAAACTTTTATTCATAATTTCTGTGGTAATCTTGCCATCAGGCCATGTACACATATACATGTACTTCTCATGTCCTATTATATGCAGTTTTTCAGATGATTTTGGTCATCAAAAAATGGAAAATATATTCATTATGCATCAGTTTATGTGTTGATGCCAGGAAAAAGGTGTCAGAAGTTTCAGCGCTTTTGATATCACTTAGCTACATAGGAGTAGGAATGTTATAGTGGGGGACCGGACATATGGATGTTGATCATTAAGCGATTTACATTATTACATGTATGGGTCCCCCTCTCCTCTTTGCCTTTATCAGAACTGGCCATTTCTTGTGTGTCAATACGAACAGCAGGCCTTCTCACTACTAATTACCTTGTTAATCAGAACTGGCAATATGTCTACATGTATATGTCAATGCAACAGTAGGCCTTTACACCATTACCTGTTAATATCCTTGCTTGGTTGTCAGGTTGTATAGCATCTTCCTTTATCATGGGTACCCAAGCCTCTGACATCTACATGTATGTAATTGCAGTTATGTTAAATTCCAATGCTCTGAACTAACATGGAAAACAGATTTATCTCTAGCCTTCACTTCCACTAGCTACATGAAGGATACCCATACACGTACATAGAAGCAAATAAAGAAATTGAACAGCTTAGATGTAAATAAACATGTAAATAATCAAACACTGTGAACCAGTAATATGTTTTTGTGTTTGGAAATAACAATGAAATATGCACATTGTGTTTTGAAAATGTGAAGCAAAAAACTGCCTTCATGTCTTATGGCATTTTTCCTTAAGTATATCGTATAAAAACCACCAACTTCTTTGCTGTCCTGAAGATTTCCAGACACTTCAAATGACATGGGGATCAACTGAAAATATCGGGATCTCATGAATGCTGAAAGGAAAACTCTACACTATTCTTCCAAACCAGTTTGAAATTTTTTTTGCAGTTGTCTTTCAATAAATTAAAGCATTTACATGTACACTACAAGTAAAATGACTTCCTGTTGATTGCAGCTTTTTACACAATCTTGTTTGAGTACTTTGATGCAGCTCTTCTCCCTGTTCTGTGGCTTAGTCCTTTTGCTTCGACTGCAGGCATCTTTGAAACCAGGGACATCTAACATGAATGTAACATCTGTATCATCACAAAAAGCAAATGTTTATTACAGGTGCACCTGTTCATGTGTTGATGCATAGAAAACTGATATCTGAACTTGGACACAATAATACAGCATATTGTACATGTGTACGTATTCAATGGCATACATGTACTGTAGCAACCTTGGATTCTCACTAAATGGGAAGTATGTGGGGACCTGAATTTTGATGAGGGAACCATTTATGATGACAGTACATGGATCCCCCCCACACACACCCACCCACCCACATCTGCACCCATACACACAAACTGTGCTTCATGAGTGCAATCAGAACAGGCAGTCTGTCTGTGTCTCAGTGCAACAGTAGGCCTTTTTGCCATTACCTGTTATTGTGGGTACCCGCATCTCTGATATCTTCCAAGTATTAACTGCGGTGACGTTGAATTCCAATGCTCTGAACTAGCAAGGGAAACAGATTTTTCTCTAGCTTTCACTCCAGCAGCAACATGAAGGATACCTATACACACAAAGCAAATAAAGAGATTTAAATATTCCATATGATCAGCTTACGTTGACATGTAAATAACCATAGGTTTACATTAAAATTTCAAACATTTTTGGATATACCATGACCCCATAAGAACATGGTTTGTCTTCTGGGGGCATATGTGCACGGTGAGTGTTTTAGGGGACGTTACACAGTTCAATGTCTATGTTCAGCATAATCATAAATCTTTCGCAAATTCTGGTTTGATTTGCCTTTGAATAAAATCCATTACACTAAAATCATCGAATAATGAGCTCAGGGAGGGAGTATAATGAATATGCATGCGCAAGTTCATCTCTGGATAGTGCTGAACGAGTAGGACGTACATGTACATAAAAATGCTGGTCTGAGTAACTCAAACTCAGCAAATTGCCATTTTAAGCATTTGGACATGGTCGGGCGTCACTAAGGATATGTCAGAGCAAATTTAGAGTTAATTTGAGTCAGTTTCGTTTTCCCTAACATCGCTGTCCAGAGCTACAAAGCACAGAAAGTGCAGGCAAAAACTTGCAATTGAAAATGTTTCTTAATGCTAATTGCCTACCAGAACCAGTTCCAGCACCTCATTCATCCAGCTTCCAAACCCAGCCGCCAGCCATACTATACCATCCGAGTGCTCCTTGTACATGTACATGTATACATGTGATTGCATATGGATTTGCTCTTTGGGTTCATCCATGCTTACTATCATTGTGACCATGCGTGTTCAGTGTCAACTCCGGATTCTTCTGCAATTTCTTGCTCTGGTGCATGAATTTGGTTTTAGTTCAGCTTTTGTGGAATTACCTTGGAATCCTCTAATCAAGCAAAGTCCATTAAGCACTCAATTGGTGCAATTTCAGGTCTGGGAGGTCCCAAGAGAGGTCCTGAGAAAACACATGTGTACGTTGAAAATATCGTCCTGATGTGTTGGGGTGTGACCGCGCAAATGGTCGATGCCAGCACAGACGGAATGCTTTAAACAATTGGTTGAGGCCTGACATAAAATCTCCGAGTTCATTTCCCTTGATATTTTGCATGATTTTTTCACAACTTTCTAGCCAAATTATCTAGAAATCATGCAATAAGACTGTGCAACAGCGCTTACATCCACCAATCAAACAGATCAGGGCCGTTTTCCAATACTCGACTTCATCTCCGTCTCAGGTTTCGTTCCCAAAACCAATCCCCAATTGTGGGCCTGAAGTGTTTATATTACATCGGATAATTGTAATTTTTAGCTTTCTTGCATCTTATATGATGTTCTGTGGCACAATTAGACTGATTACTGCGCTTGCAGCTTGAAAGTCATCTAGTAAAAAGAAACAGTTAAAGCCTGAGACAGAGCCGAAGTTCAGTATTAGAAAACGGACCAGCTGATCACGCAAAGTACGGACATGCGCAAATGCTTAGGCACAACAGCACTTGCATGCATGGTTTTCAAAATGTGTACAAAGTCAATGGGAGAAATTAATCTTCAAAATTAAATAATAAATTGTTTCATGATGTCAAAGTGATGTCACTCACTGGTGGTAAGATTTTACAGATTGTATGACACTATTACGTACTTTACGGTAAGATATTTCAAGATAATTTTGACAGTCCCATTTTTGAGACCTTGTACATGTAAATACTATACACTGCCTTTAACCCTGCATGTCTCTTCCCTCCCTTACAATTATGTGCCATCTGTGAATGAAGGTAAACAGAGGTGAGCTTTTTTGTTATGGAATTCTAAAAATCCAAACGGATATTCCATTCTACCAAGAAATCACTCACCTCTGTCTGCCACCCCCCCTCCCAGTTTAATCTAAAAAAGCTAGGGTGAGTTATTGTGTTACACAACCCTTTGTTGGGGACATGCAGAAGGAGTGGCTTTGGTTACATTTGCAGTGAATTTCCTAACACATGATCCCCATAGATAATATGCAAATTTAGGTTAGCAGAGGTAGAATGGAAAATAGATTCTGGGAAATTCAAGCTGAAAATATACTAAATGGTATACTCATTTCCATCCATATTTTACCTTTCGGATAGTTCTCATTGCAAATGAAAGTTTCCATGAGTTTTTCTTGAGTCATTGCTTAAAAATTATATGTAACATGCAGAGTGGTTACACCGATTCCTGTTGCTAAAATGGAGCTATGATAGACATGGCAGGACCAATTCTATAACATTGGTGTCACAATGGTAAAGAACCAAAGTTGGCAGCATAATTATAAGCCGGCTTTTATAAACAATCTGAACCTGCTTGTCTATCTACAAATGATTTTTCTGCTTTGAGGATTTTTCTCAAGGGAAAAAATTCTCTCCTATGTAGTAACAACACAAGATTTTCTGTATCAGTCACCCATATTTCATGTGTGTACTCACTGGCCGGTCTGCATGGCAGTCCATTTGCACATGCTTGCACATATGCCCACGAACAATAATGTTTTATGCTCAATATGTTTTAATCTGTGGTGGTGGCAAATTTTAATGCATAGCATGTATGCTTAAAATTGCATGTTGGCATAACAATAATTGAGGAATTTTTTTTAGTTTATTTACTATTTATCAAAGAAAGACAATATCAGTTACCTTGAATGAAGGAAAAAGTGCAGAGTGAGTCATTTGCCTTACTAAATCTGCCTAGAACATTCATTAACGTGCATCAATGAAATTTGCTACTGGAATTCTAACGCTGAGAATTGATTATAATATAAACAGGACTTCTTGGCACTTGAGAATGAAGGAAAAAGGGAAGATCTTTTGACAAAGATGAATGCTGCCATTACCTGTCTGTACTTCCCTCCATTAAACCCCATCCAGCAAGAGATGTACAGAGTAGGGTAAGTGTTTGACTATGCACACTTTACATATGGCTTGTCTGAGGGAATATGAGATGGTGTGCTTTTACACAGCAATTATGGTCTTTTCGTGGGAACTAATACAATCTTTGTGGGAACTCTGTCTGCTCGCAAAGGTGTGGCCATATTTGGTACGGGATGTGCAGAGCGTGCGTGACCACAGGCAGTATGTATGGTCTCTGTGTGGGTAGGCCCTTACAGGTTATGGGGAAGTTTCAGTTGTAAGGCAAAATTAGGCTAAGTTATTTGGACTTTCTGTTTCCACACCATTTTGATATCCACAAAATAGTGTAAAGGCACCATCCATCTGCGTGTCAACACTTCTGACAAGCGGTTTGTATCCGTTGAAATCGCTCCTGCAGCGGTTTGATGGCTGAATGCAATGCACTTCTGTGTTATGTCAATGAATTCGAATTTTGTGTCTGTGAAAGTGAAATGCATCATGTTTGCAATGCACAAAAAAAATGTGCATATTGAAAGATAACCACTTGTTATTCTCCACAACTACAGAACAAAGAGGTGGGTCCTTTTGTCTGAAAAGGGTGCTAAGATGCAACTATTTCCAACAACCTTTTTCTTCTTTGCCAGTGATGGGGAGCTTCAGTTGGGGAATGCAACATAACACATGAATAAAGGACACTTTATCTGCTAAAGGAAACACTCATAGCACTTTTACATCTGCAAACAAAAAAAGAAAGATTATAGTGAGCAACACCAGCATAAAAGTCAAACTCATGCTGAAAAACAAGATGTGAAATAATTCAATATAGATTAAACTGCCTTATCAGATGTCTCCTGAGCCACCCTACCGCCACCGAGAGCTCGCAACACCACCACCAAGGGCTAGCAATGCTTTTCACCGGCTATGTCCCAGAGAAACACAAGTGGCACTCCTGCCAGTGTTCCACCCATGATTCCAAAGAGCATCAGCAGCCATCCGACTTTGGCCAAAAAGACCACTTCTCCAGCAGCTTCTGAGCGTGCTCTTTCTTGCTCTGAAACTGAGGCTCATGGTCTGGGCTCCTCACAAGCGCTGGGGTCTGCAATGCCCAGTATATCATTGGGCCACGACCCCACGGCACCCGGCTAATCCCCTCAGGGACTGCACAGCCCACCGGTCTTATGCACCGTTGTGGCTTCGAACCGCCGCAGCCCATACACGGTTCCGGTTTTCAGCTGGGTCTCTCCTTGCCACCTTGTCTCCTCCAGACTTATCTGCCCGATGCTCCGTAGTCCCCACTGTCAACTGAGAACGCTCTTCAAGCACCCAGCCTACTGTTGCTCCATCAGCCACCTCCACCACAGGGTCACCTGCTACCGGGAAGAGCAAGCACAAGTGCTCGTCTTCCTCATCAAGTGCCTCCAAACCAGCCAAGAAACACCACTCCAATCAGTACGATCAGATTTCTGAAGCATGGATACCGACCTTTCAATCTATTAATTTGGCCCTTACTTCTGTTGCTGTTTGCCTCGACAGACCTCTGGCCTCCACCGCCCCGGACCCATCTCTTGCAGACCAGCCGCTTCCACCCCCTCAACTGTAAGCCACCTGGACACTGACCCAGACTCCATACAGGATCGCACCACCAAGGCGTTCCCCTACAAGAGCGGGCTATCCCCCACACGACTGTGCAGGGCTCAGATCTACATGCAACCCTGTCCCCAACCAGACAACTGGCATTATCTTCCAAGGAGGAAGACGTAGATTCTATCGGCACTCGTACTCCGGCCGAGGACTGTCTCCATCTTCTTCAGTGAGACTTAATTCAAATACTCGGTCTACCCACAGCTGCTCCAGTGGAGGAGGACTCCAGTTATTGCTCATTTAGACGATGCTCAGCTCCAATGGAGACTACGGGGTCAATCTTGCCCGGGCTCCCACTTGTTTGCTCTTGTGTAGAGATGTTTAAATCCCCTACTAAAGCTAAGCAATGGCATGCACTCCCTAGCCAAGCTGCATCCTGCTACCATTTCCCGGCGGAAGATTTCAAGAATTTCCTGTCGGTTCCGGACCTTCTCGACACAGCGCAGACTCGGGAAGACCTTCTCAGGGAATTTTCCGAGACTAGGATAAAGCCCTGCTAGATGCCACACTAGCAAAACTCGACTAAGCCTCCTGCGTCAGACCATGGTGCACTTCCTACCTGCTCCTGTCAGAATACATTGCCCATATTTGCAATTAGAATTTACCGGTCCCCCTGGATTTTGCGGCCCTAGCTCTCCTGGGCTTTGACAAGGGAACTGAATAGTACATTCAAGCAGTTCACTCGAATTTCTTCAACAGGGAGTTCCATTGCTGTTGATGCATATTCCCACGAAGGTGTTAAGATCTCCAGCAACTTCCACTTTTTGGTGAGAACCTTTTCGTGGCAAATTTGTTGACTTACTGGAGACCTAGGCTAAATGAATTGATACAGCAAAGAAGATATCCCTCCTTGAAACTCAGTCTTTAATGTTTCAGCAACCTCGATTACGTAGTTCCGGTCAGACTCGGCCCACAACATACCAAAGCCCCCCCCCCCCCGAGTCATTCTTCTTTCCATCCTCCACTCCAATAGTCAAGCCAAAACTGGGCCAACCACTCGACAAGCCAGACTTTTCGCAGACATGGACGTCCATCGCATGCCCCCTGTTCTTCNGGTCTCATTTAGACTTCAGCGGCCCCCAATTCTGAACCCATGGGTGGCCGCCTTCAACAATTTGCAGGGTTCTGGAGAGACATCACCTCAAACAGCTGGGTACTTTTGACTCTCACACATGGATATCTACTCGAGTTTAAAAGCACCCCGCTGCCAAAGGCAACACTACAACCGACTCCTGTTCTTCGCAACAAGGATCAACACTTGGCGCTGGAGTTGAAGATAAATTCTCTTCTGCAAAAACGAGCCATCCTTCAGGTCAAACCCAGCCAACTCGGGATCGGGATTGTTTCAACCTTTTTTCTCGCACCAAAGAAGGATCCAGGCATCCTGTTATCAACTTGAAGCCACTGAACAAATTCACCCACCCCAAGAAGTTCCAGATGGAGACCACCGCGACTTTAATACAATCTCTCCTGGTTCTGTCTTGGGCTTCATTGATCGATCTCTGTGACACATACCTTTCTGTTCCCATTCACAAAAAGGACCGCGAGTTCCTCTGCGGAGGGATAGCATATGAGTTCTGTGTCCTCCCATTCGGTGTATCGACTTTACCTTGAGTTTTCACCCACATAGCCAAGACTGTTGCGGCCCACTTACGCCAGCTAGACGTTGTGCTTTTCCATTTGGACAACTGGTCGATCGTCTGTCAAACTGAAGTTGAAACTGTTGCCACAACTCACCTCACTTGCAATTGTACTACCAGGCTCGGCTTCCTGATCAACCTACAAAAGTCCAGCTTGATGGCATCAGAGCTCCCGACTTGTCCAGGGGCAGTACTTGACCTCTGCGTAGGTGTCATCACCACAACGTCTGACCGAGTCAACAATCTTTGGGCCTGCATCTCCCTTGTTTCCGCACGTCACAATCACCTCCTGTCCTTGCTTGGCTCCGTCTCCTCGGCCTCATGACCAGCAATGGCGGACCAGGTACCATGGTGCAGACTACAGATGAGACCACTACAGCTCCATCTGCTTGTTTTGTATCGCCCCAAGTTGGATCCTATTGCTTTACCAGTACACGTTTCAGACGACATCCGCCAACACCTACTCTGGTGGCTGCAAAAGGATTACTTAAAAGTGGGTCTTCCCTTCAGATGAATAAAACCCGACTTAGTCATATCAACCGATCCGTCATCAGCTGGTGGGTCTCCCTTTCCCTACATCAGGTGTCAGGGAGCTGGGCCCCAAGTTTGAGAAGAATCACACTAAAGGTCTGGAATTACAGGTGATATTCAACACTTTATATTATTTCCACAGACATATCAAAGGGCAAAACCGTCCTGGTCCACTCCAACAATTCAACAGCAGTGGCATACATGAGCCATCAGGGCAGTAGACGTTCCCCAGAATGTGCACCTTCACATAGGAAATCTTTCACTGGGCGAAGAGTCATGCAATCAATGTCAAAGCGATCTACATCGCGGGACCCGATAACACCATAGTAGATGCACTGTCTTGGAACATGATCCGACTGAAAGAATGGACCCTTCAAGCTGACATCATTGCTCTTGGTGATAAAAAGGCCGCACGTCAACCTTTTTGCATCGGCGGACAATATTCACTTCCTGGTGTTCTGTACCAGGACATCACATCCTAGAGTGTGGGCCATGGATGCCCTTCAGATCAATTGGACTGGCCTACTAGCGTACCCTTTCCCCCAATCACTCTGAGTAGTATGCAAAGGAGAGTTCCAGATCAACCACTTTTCCTCCTATACCTCATCGACCCCCCTGAATACCGCATCGACTGTTTCCAAAACTACCCCAAAACCACCCTAAAAACTCCTCTTCTCGGGACTTCCCCTACTCCCCTGTGCTCTCCAAGGCTCCTCCCTTAGCAACCTTTCGGCTAAGGTCCTATTAAATCTTTCAACGATTCCCTGGGATCTATGTCCGCTGTGTTCACCTACTTGAATTGGAACCTTCTGTTTGACCAACAGCTTTTTAAACTCGCCTCTAAATTCCGATCCCGAATCGACCATTATTAATTTAGGCCAAGTCAAAGGTGATCTACCGTAAACCCGTTTTATGGCAACAGACACTTGGTCGGTCATTTTACTGGTCAACGGTTCAGCTTCTTTATATCTAGACCCAACGTCAACTATGGTCAAAGTGTATTTATAAATCTTTCTTTTAACTCGGTCCCAGGGTAGGTATAGCATGAATTTCGTTTACATGTACATGCATTGGCAGATGTATCTACCGTAATTTTTGGAGCATATGCCTTGTATCCGTTTATCTTGACGTTTTCGTAGCTCTGATTAAAAAACCCCAAAATTGTCTTCAAAAAATTGCCACAGGTGCTCATGCATGCTGCATCGATGCACGCACTGCATCTACAC